TTAATTTACCTGCCCTTCTATACAAATACCATACAACTAAAAAGTGTCAGAGGAGTATGATGGTGCCAAAGAAGAATCCCAGGTTTATGGGAAATATTATCCCTATTGTATCAATACAGGCTCACTGTCAAGGGCACCCCCTGGAACTATGCAACACAAGGCCCTTTATGAAGCTACAAGAAGCCAGACCTTGTGACTGATGAGGAATCTCAAACTGACAGTGACTACAGCCCACAGGGATGTTTCATTTGGACAGTACAGAGTTTTTCCCTCTTTTTCTAAGTTTAGAAAAAGGCAATCTAAATTAAGTGCCTTTAAGAGATCAACTTAAACACCCCACTCCCAAATTCTTACATCCAGTCAAGTCTAGAGGAAACCAGGAGCAAGTTTCTCCCAGTCAAGTCACACACGTGCAGTTGGCTTCTCCAGCCACTGAGCTGTAAGAGATGTCTACCAAGGAAATAAATTTGTTCCCGACTCAGCGCCCAAGGCTTTTATTGGGGGTTGGTGACAGAAGCACCCCTATGCCTAGCATGTTCTAAAATTCCAGATTCCCAAAAGAAAAAGAGCTATTCAACAGAAAACATACTGTTTGCACCATTTAGGCAAAGTTTTCATTTAGTTATCATTTAGGGAAAGTTTTATTTCAGTGCAGGAAACTGTTTACCAGTCAAGTTCCTGATGCCAGGCCAGGGCTCATCTTGCAAGCAGGCCTTTCTCAGGAGAGCAGTTTCAGGCCTGCTGGTAAAACTCCTGTTGCCAGGGGGCAGCCTCAGCCCAGGGTCTCTACCCAACACCCCAAAGCCTCTACCCAACACCCCAAAGCCTGCCTTCTCTCACACAAAAGCTCCTTTACCAGCCACTTATGATCCCCATTGCTCCCATTTTATTAACAAACAAGAAAATAATTCAACCTTTATCTTATCTAGCCAAACAGAAGTTGACTTACTTGCCCAATGTTATTAAATATCACTCTACCAATCAGAACTTCTAGTTAGCATGAGCTAGCCATGAGCGAGCCAGGATCTACGCTGAGACATGATTCCAGCCAGAGGCTGAGAATAGTCACTAAGCTGTCCAGTGGCTTTACCGTGTAAAGACATCATTTCCACGTGACTGTTGGAAATGCTGAAAATAGTTCAAGGACGCCCATTCCCAGCGTGAAGACCCTTCTCATCTCTCACTTCCAACCTTGCACAGCAGCGCCCTGGGTCTCAGGCCCCACGGATCTGGCACCTAGGTTTCCTGGGGACGGTCAGCCACCGGGCAGTAGGGCAGGAAGTGCCCAGCTGCCAGTGTACTGCTCGAGCACCACCCAGGGTCCCTGACCCCTGACCCTGGAAAGCCTTCGCCTTCTCGCATCCCAGGTCCCTTCTCCTCAGCACCCAGGAAGCACTGCACTCTTTTCTGCAGAGGTCCACAGCCCCGAGAAAACAGACATTTTCAATTTCTGTCGAGTTTAAACATACCCAAGGGTGGGGCAGCTGAGGGCCACCACAGCTGCCAGCAAGGGGCTGAGCAGGGGTCAGCAGGCCCCACCTGGAGCTACGGTCAAGCCCTGCAGCCCATGCCAGATGCCACGAACCACCTCAAGGGCCTGCGTGCCTCCTGAGGAACCTAAGGCCTGGATCAGGGCAATTTTTGAGTCCTGAAACTTCTTGACGTTGACGGGGCAATCCACTGGGAAGGACCAGGGCCTGACGCTGCCTGGTTTCTCTGTGGTAGACTTATTGTGCCTGGAAAGTTTAGCGCTGTTCTGACAACCTGTGCGTTGAAGAGGACCACAGTCACTCTCCAACGACAATACAGATCACCTGCCTTAGAAGGACAGAGACCTTGAAACTCGGAGACTGTGACTGCGGTTCGCGAGGCCTCGAGTGGAGGCTGCCGACCAAGGAGCTGCTTGGCCATCCTGGCGCCATGATGCAGCGCATTTCTGAGCCCTGAGACAGGCCTGACGCTACAGCTTTAGCTGTCGTGGTTCACGGAGATGCCGAATAGGAACTGAGGCATATTTTATGGAGGTCTGGTTCTGATGAATCTCCTTGATTTGATTAAAGTGGTTTGGATAGTATATTTGGCATTTGTTGAGAACATTCTCCCTAACGGCGGCATTTGAAGTAGCAGCCAGTGAGGAATGCTGGTGCTATTTAGAAGTCTCAAGCACCCAAGGATAGGCTTTTATCTCCTCAAGCTGGAACTGGGCTAAACCAAAGGCTGTAGAGCCACAGGCCGAGCAGGGTCAGCTCTCAGTCTGGGGGCTGCTGACGCCTCCTAATTGCCTCCCAGGGAACTGAGATGACATTCGTTTTCATCTAGTGGTGGGAAGTGTCTTTCCCAACTGGAAGGGCTCAGCATAGGACTCCAAATTAAAGCATATTGGTGAATAAATCTCAGTCATCTCTTCCAGCACTAACGGGGGAGCAAGCAAACAGCACTTTTATAATTATCATACATTTAAAATGAGTGAAAGCCCCTTTTAATTAATTGCAATTTACACACACACACACACAAAATCACAAAATGGCTGCCAAAATAGGAATGAAAACAATAGCTGATTTTTAAAATTAATGTTTAGTACAATCTCAGCACATTTAAATAAAAAGTGATTGCCTGTTAAAAAACAGAAATTGCAGTAGAAAAGGTTTCTTCTAACAAAAGAAAATAAATAGCAATAGTAAAATTATTTTAATCTTAAAATAAGCTTTACCATAGTCGGTGTAGAGGCCTGACCACTGCACTGTATATCTGAAGCTGATGTTGAATAATAATGTATGTCAACTATAATTATATGTACATATAGTCACGGGACATGGAGTAGAGAGTGGGAATGGAGTCAATGGAATTGTAATAGATAAGCATGATATCGGGAGTGGGAGGGCAGTACATGGGGGAGGGGGGTTGTTACTTTGTGAGGGTGAAAAGGATAACTATTGCATTGTTCTGTACACCTGAAACTAATAATAAAACATTTTTTTAAAAATAAGCTTTACCTAATGGCTTCTAAAGGTTGGTCAGGTTCCATGTCATTTATAATAACAAAATCTTCTGGCTACAAATCCAACGAACGGTACTGTACCAAAATGCTAAACTAGGGCACACGCCACAGGCAAGTGGAACCATGCAGTGTCACCCAGCCCGCCCGCAGGGGCTCATCCAGCCTCTGACCGCCAAGCTGAGCCTGGTGAAAGCCTGTAGAAGTGAATGGGGTCTGCCTCTATGATCTCAACATTGTGCCCTGCGGGTAAACATCAGCCCACTGCTCCTCAAATACGTAAGTGGCTTCTGAAGTTTATTAAGCCCTGGAAGACACAAAACTGTATGCTGTGTCTACACGGAGAATCTGAAAAGTGTTACTCCTATCTTTCATATCATGATTTGCTAACTCAGAAGATGATTTTTAGTATATGTACTGCCGAAACAAGCACCCCAGAAGATGATTTTTAAAATTTCATTATTTTCTTCTTTAAATGAGAGCCTAAATATTTGATGATGCACTAAAGTTCACGGGCAAGTATCAAGCCTAAGTCCCCAAGACACCTGTGGGCGTCTAATACAACAAGAACCAGAGACGGCACGCTCCAGCCAAGGCTTTCGGAATCAAACAGGAAACAGCGTGGGCTGCATGTGCCTGTGGGCTGGCTAATGGGCTGTGAGTCTGCAACTCTCAAATGAAAGCTTAGAACTGGAATCTGAAGCTTTTTTCCTAATTCGGTGTCTTTCTGCCACAAAGTCTATACAATAGATTCTTTATGGATTCTGATTATAGTGCAAAGTAGTTTGCACGAAGGCTATACCACTTACCTGGAAATTCCTGGTCACATATATACATGTCCTGGGTAGGAGTTAACTAAAACATATAAATAATTGGACTAGTTTTCAAGTCTTTTTTTTCTTTTTATAAGATTGCAAATAAATGTTTTAGCACATAAAAATGAAATACCACCATCAAAGTAGCATTTTACCTGCTTCAGAAATCGGTCAGATGCGTTGCTGTGCCTGGCTAACACACCTGGCAGAGAAGGATTGGCATATTCAAACTGAGGATTGTAGGTATAGTCAGACCTGAAGAATCTCAGCTTTTCTTTCTCCAGGTTGGTGGGCTTTATAGCAGTCAGTATACAAAACCTCTTTCCAGAAAAGTCATCTCCTTTTTCAAAACTTCTAGACAGCTGAGGCTGTGGCTGCAGCTTTGGCTTTGGAAGAGTGGAGAAATGGCGTCGCTTGACCTTGGTTTTGGGTTTAGGTGGCAGTACTATGCTGTTCCCTGTAACAGAGATATCATGTGTAAACTTTACAGGATTTGACACTGAACTAGTGACAAAAACAGCAGGCTGCCTCTCTAGGCAGTACCAAGTGCCACTGCTCATCGCCGGCACTGGGCCTTTCATCTTGCGAAGGTCTTTACTACGAGAGGAGCTAGGAGCTTTGCTGGGCTTCCTACATCTTTTGGAGTAGGAGGAAGACTGCTTTTGAGCATGATGCTTTTTCTCCTCTTTGCTCTGTAGGAGGACATTGTAACTACTGGTTCCAGTTGTGAAAATGTCCTTTAGTATTCCAGGGGACAAATGTGAAATGCTTCTTTTGCTGTCAATGATCAGTGACTCTTCTGCATTGAGAATAGACTTCTTAGCAAGTTCTTGCTCAGGCCAGTGAAGCTTTTCTGTGTTAATAAACAAAACCAAAAGGAAAGAAATAACAAAGATACTAGATGAAGCAAAATGCTGGTTATAGGAAAAGTATTCTGAAAGTTCTGTAAATTTTATAATTGGCAACAAACTTTAGAAATAACATTTTAAAAATAAAAAGGATATATTACTAAACTTTGATCATACTATAAACGCTGTCACTTCTATGACTGTATATATGCTAACTTATCTATAAAAATCCACAGCTTTAAACCATTTAGATGATCAAAGTTTAATACAGATGTGAAAAAGTACACATAAATAATCTGAACACTCAGCTCTACCAAAGAATGTGGATTTCATAGAAAGGATACAGTTTTCAACAGTACTACCAATATCAAAGTAAAATCCAAGGCACTTTCAAAGCCAATACAATCGTCAAATCTGACAGTTTATATAAAGGTAGCCATCAGTAAGATAAGGATAACACAGCCTTATTGATCTCAAAAACCACTTTTAAAATTAAATAAATGATATGTGTATGTTCAAGTATGTTTTAGTAATGTCACTCAGTATTAATTGGTTGATTTTCTTAATTCTAGGCTAGAGGTTAAGATTAAATAAAATCAAGTTTTCTTCTTGCTAAATATGAAAAAATTGTAATGACTATTACATAGGTATCAGTATACCAAATGGCCAACTTAGGAGAGATCAGCTTTGCCTGAAAGAGGTAAGAATCGCTTGATATACTGTTGCTCATGCACTGCTTCAAAACTGTTGATTTGCATCCTTTTATGCCACAAATAGATGAAATATTACTAATTAGGTACATGGTTGTGAAATACATTGTTCCTGCTTTCAACCAGCTTCTATTCTGGCTCCGAGGGCAAGGCAGTCCTATGAATAATAATAATAATACAAGGTAGTAATAAGTTTAAATGTGAAAAACAAAAGATATAAACAATAACCTAGACTTCAGAGAACAAAAAGAGCAATATGAGAAAAAACAGATGGGGGGATTTCAGGTAGACCTTTAAGAACTTTCAGATTCAATTCTAAAATGACAAACTACGTTTGCCTTAAATCATACTTCTCTGAACTAGCCTCCGGCCCAAGTCCTGACCAAACCTGCTCATAAACCTTTTCCAAATCCTTTCTGTAAATGCGACATATTATGAACCTTAAGCAAGTGTTCTCCTTTCCAAGTCTCATGGACAAGGGGCCATAGCCCTCAGCCTTTGGATCCCACTACTGAGGCAAGTTTAATGCTCGTTGACCTGGATGGTTGCCTGTCTTGCCAAGGAAGAGACAATTAATTTTATTTCATTTCTTTTAAAACTGTCTATCCACATACATCTGTCATTCAATCATTCAAGATTAGACATCCAGGGCTCCTTTCTATAATAAGTAGTAATAAATAATAACAACAATAATAAGCAGCCACCACTCACTGACACATTTATGAGAGTTTGGGATTGTACCAAAAACTGTGTATGTTAAGTAATTTGCTCAAGGTTATATGACAAGAAAGTAATAAACAGCAGACTGTGATGTGAATGCAGGTGTATCTGATCAGAGCCCGTGCTCATTCTATTACGTGTGGTCATTCATTCAATTATCAAGACATTCAGTATTGAGTCAGCTACACGCACAGCCCTGCGCCTTTCCTTCCTCTGTACAGAACATGGCACCCCGGTAAGCCATGGTAATTTGAATAACTGATGTACTAAGCTAGGTACCAGGACCATGTTTTATTTATTTCTTTCCAACATTTAACATGGTATCTGGTAGACATTCAATAAATGTACACTGAAGAAATGAATGAGTGAATGAATGAATGAATGAATGGCATGACCTTAAATATGCCATTCTCCAACCATTCTAGGTAAACAGGTTTTAGTAGTTCTGGGACCATTCTATATCTCTATGAGGAGATAGATCACTGCAGAAGTGGAAATATAATGGGGAAGACCCTAAACCAGTGGTTCCCACCTCCCTGGGACACTTGGCAATGTCTGGAGGCATTTTGGTGTCACCACTAAGAAGATGTGGTGCTGGCATCTTGTGGGTAGAGGCTAGGGATGATGCTAACCATCCTTCAATGCACAGGACAGCCTCCTATGACAAAAACATCCATCCTAAAACAGTGCCAAGGTAGAGAAACCCTGCTCTAAATCTAAGTTTTTAAAATCCCTTAGTCATAGAGTTTAGGGCAAAGAACCAGTGCCAGGTCAAAAGTGGGTAATGGTCCAAATATGTAAGATACTTCAAAGTCCTCTAGGACTTTTTAACATTTTCTAGACCAACATGTGAAATCTGAATTATGGTGTCTAAAAGATAACATAAAAGAATGAACCTGCAGGGGCTAAATATGATGTCTACTACATACACAAGTCGAGACGTAGGAGCTAGACTGCATGGGGTCCTATGGAAGGTTGATTACACAAAGAAGCCTTTCAATAAATGTTAAAGACCAGCCAAAAGTAAACCGAACAAACAAAACTTTCATCGCAGGCTGGTAGGTTCCAGTTCCTCAGGGGTTGCAGACTTAAGTGTTTCCAACTGAGAGTCAAAGCTGGGCAGGCTGGGCAAACACAAGCTAAGGGACACCAGGACAGAGACGGCAGCCCGCGTGCCCACAAATAATGTCAGCGTCTCTAAAAAGACACCACAAGCTTAGGAGGCAAGAGGTGATAGCGAAAGGAAGATGTGAAATGGACACTAAAAGGGAAAGAGCAAGTGAACTGAGATAAGAATAAGGGTATCAGAAACCTAGAAAAGTCAGGTGAGGACTAGGCCCAGCCAGGAAGGTAAAAGGAGGGAGTCAGGTTTTCTCACGTGGCCTCCACAATACAAAGGGGAAGAGTCACAGCAAAATCAGTGAATAAAACGACTGGAGAACTCCTAAGCTTGGTGGTTTATTATATTTGTGTTGAGTTTTTAAACAAATGAATACTGAATGTAAAAATGCTTTTTTTGGTTCCTAAGACTCAGTAATTCTATGAACAAAGAGCTGACCTCATAGAGTTCTTTTGTCATAAAGCATCAGTGACCTCTAAATTCATTCTTTTGTCCCATCTCAAACAACCTATACACTTCAGGATACTTAAAGTCCTAAACCATCTGTCAAAACACTCTAGGAGGAGTGGGGGCTGGGAGAGAGCTGACTGTGTCTGTCTGACAGAACCCCTTCCCCCAGGAGCTGCATTTCAGTTTACTGGTTAATTATCCACCTGAGAGGCTTAGCCTCAGTCCTTTTTAAGCTCCATCTGCTGATGAGTCAAGTTTTGGGAGTGCCAATGGTGTATTTATTTAACAAACGCCAATCCTACCAAATGTTGGTATCTCATGAAGTTCATAAAAGTAGGGTAGATGGTCCTACAAACATTCATACAAGATGGATATCAATTTCTCACAATCACACTCATTTTATTTCAGTTGTATTAAAAATATTAGAGAACCTAAAATAGGTTTTGTAATTTTTAAACCTACTGTTTAAAAAAATATGGCTTTTAAACATGCATAAGAAATAATAGTGGGGATGAGGGAGAAGGGGAAGGGATTAGACAGCATAAATAGGTAACTACAATATTGCCACAGGGATATGAAAGACAGTTTGAGGAATATAATTAATAATGTTGTAAATATTTTGTAGGGTGTCAGATGGTCACGTCTTGTTAGGGAGACCACTTCATGGATGGGGTAAAAAGAAAAAAAAATAATAATAATGATAATAAAAGCCCAATAAGAAGGTTTCATCGAAGAATGTCCTATTCTCCTAACTCCTTTTTCCTGTAACATTAAAACTTTTTTTTAAAGCATAAACAGCCTTCTTTGGGGGTAAGTGTAGCTCATTTTTTCCCTGGAAAAGTAATAAGGTAACTAAAAAAATCATTCCTTCTCAAATCAAGTCACTATATAATGTGACATTTTTAGCCATCAGTAATCTGCTTCACTAGAACCTTGGAGTAAATGACAATAATGTGTCAATCAAAGAAATCATTCACCCCAACCTGATTACCCATACTGAGGAAAAAAGGGAAATATTCCATTAAAATTGATACTTAATATGCTCACAAGTAGGTGACTATACTGAAATTACCAACACAATGAAAGCTTCGTTTGTATCTAGAACAAGAGAAAAGGATACCAGGATTCCTGGCTTCCAGTCCCAGCTCTTTCAATCACCTCTCTGTAATATTACCCTAATCACTAAACTCATCAGTACCTCATGTTCCTCATCTAAAGGAATGGGGGAGAGGGGATCACTGCTCACTAAACTCTCAGTGTTTCACAAGTTTGAATAGGCGAGGTTTCACGGTAATTATGAGGTTCTGAAAGAAAGATTAGATCACCAGAAACAAAACCTGATGGAAAATACCATTCAACCAATTTGGACCCACAAGATGGCAATTTTATATGGCTCACGAATACTTATGAAATCTGAGAAGCTGGGATAATTTTATACCACAAAGCAACAGGTTGCTTGATTACAAACAGAAGAAAAGGCAAAACAAAACAAAATAATCCCCGAATAAGATGAACACTTTTATCAAGTAGTTCATCATCACTTAAAATTCGAATGATATGATCTCTATCAACAGTAGAAAGGGGGGCTAAATCATGGTGCATCCATACAGTAGATAGTATACTGCAATGAAAAAGAGCAAGCAACAACGGGGGTGGGTCTCACAGCCAATACTGAGCACAGAAAACCTGATCAAAGAGTACATGTTGTATAATTCCATTTATGTGTAGATCAAAAACAGGCAAAAGCAGTTTTTGGTATTAGAAGTCAGCATAGTGGTTACATTTGAGGGAGGGGTTATAACCTAGGAGGCGGTACCAAGGAATTAGGTTCTAGAAATGTCCTCTATCTTGTTCCGGGCAGTGGGTACAGAAGCACAAATTCATCAGGCTACACATTTAAGACTTGTGTACTTTACTGAATATAACTAACACCTTCGTTTTTTAAATGGTCTATAAAAAATCAGTATCTTTGGAAACATATATATTGCCCAACTGTCTGCATTATAACAGAGAAGCTATATATTACATCATCGCTAAATTCAACAGCACCTCACAGTTTCTCGACTATAAATTTAAAACAAAGGAGAGATGGAAATGTACGCCTGTGCCACTTCAGGAATCCTAAAACTCCCTAACAGTCCCAGTTAGGAGTACTTCAGTGTCACTCTGTAAGTAACAATGATTCTTTATACTGTGACATGGTTGTTTTGGGTCGGAAGCTGTTGTGTTCTTTTTTTTTTTTTTATAGTTAGAAATATGCAGGGTATCCTATAATGCCAGAAAATGATGGTTGTGGTCAAAGCAACAGCCCTAAATAGCATCTAACACAGCAGTGAACGCGCCGGAACAAACTTCCCCATGGCTTTCCATTTAGGATGAGAGCAAAAGCCCTGACCGTGGCATGTGGTCACTCGTGGGCAGGTCACTCTGCCTCCCCGGCCCCGTCGCACACAGTGTTGCCCCTCACTCAGTCCACTCTGGCTTCCTCTCACTGGGTCAATCCCTCACGCTCACCTCTCTGCAGACATAACACCTCTTCACACTCTGTTCCCTGTTGGGACAGCCCATCCCTCCCTGCTCTATTAGATTAATTTTTACTCATCCTTCAGTTCAAACATCACTTGTTCAGGAAATCTTCTCTGTAAGGTTCTCTAAAGAACTTGTCATGGTTGATGTTCTACATTTGTTTGAATGGTGGCCTTCCCCAACACTGAAATTCTCAGGTCCATTATGGCAGACGTCTGTGCTCGTTTTTACCCACTCACTGCCCTGCTTATGAAAGGATGGCCAGAGCAGTGGCCCCGGGGAGAGAACATCTGAGAGGAGAAAAAGGATATGGGATTTGAGTGCCTGAAGGTTGAGAAAAAAATCACACCAGGATGGCATAAAAAAATGAAACAATTAGTGCTGTGGAAGATGAGTTTTAATGGCAGGTGCTCACGACTGCTGTGGGACGAACAGTAGCTATGTGCTTAAGTGTATTCATCCTATAAGGCCAAACACTGGCCTTAGGAAGGCTTTCGTCTCCAGTATTTCTAAACATTCACTTTTGTTTCAAAGGAGCTTCATTTCCAGATGATTCATTAATCACTTCTTATATCACATACAAAATATGGGCAGCAGGAAATCATAAATTAACATAATCTTATATGGCTTCTGACAGCATTGTGCTCCTCATTGAATGACCTACATATCTTCTTTTCTATTTTGAAAACAATAATTTTATAGCCAAGTAAAATATCTTTCCAGGCAAAGATTTAGAGACTTGCCTGTGATAAAAAGTTAAAAAGCAACACCTTGAGTTAATAATCAGGTAATGTACCACTGATGTTAAATGAGACTTTCGTGTTGAATTCTGCGGCTTAAACGAGCGTCTAGTCATTGTAACGGTGGTGCGACCTTCCTAGTGGGTGAGAACATGGGCTTGGGACTGGAGCTTCGCCAATTCAAACCTTGGCTATTTATCAGTAGCGGTGACCTTGGCCAAGTTACTGAGCTTCTTTGTGCTGTTGTTTCCTTATCTGTAAAATGGGATAATAAACTACAGATGTCACAGTATCGGTGCAAGAAACAAAAAAGTTTATATATGTTAAATGTCGAGAACAGTGTGGCCTGTAGTAAGCTGCCTGTGTTAACGATCAGTATCATTATTATACTCAACATTATATTTAGCTCCATGGAATAATATAAATGGGAAAATATTTAGAATCATTAAATTTGGATTTCCAAGGTAAATTTAACATTAAGTAATTAATTCTACATTCCAGAACCAACATTTTAATGGCTTTAGTATAATAAACTATCTTCTTTAAAAAGCTATCTTCTTTAAAACTATCTTCGTTAAAAAGGCACAGAAACCTTTTCTGATTTGGTTTCATTTCAAACAGTATACATGGCATACACATCTTTCTTATTTTAATTTACTCCTCCAATCAGCAGTTCCACTGGAATGTTATATTTAGATTATATTCAATCATGACTAATAAGTCAAAAGTGAGTAAGATATTATATAGGAAATGATTTCAGAAACACTTAATTGCTTCAGTCCTAACATAAAAAACAACCAGTTTGCTCTATATTTATAGCCATTTTAAAACTGGGGGAAAAAAATGCACACATTTCTGCAAGTACTCTCACCACAAATAACCACGTTCTTCTGCTAACCAGAAGAACACAGGCTTCTTAGATATAAGCAGGGAGGGGATAGCAAAGGAAAGGGGTGGCATGTTTTCAGCTAAATTCTCTTCGTAAAGTTTCTGGCCATCTCAATTGGGCTTTCAGATTGGCAATGAAATGTTGGGCATTGGGTTCTAGAACCATCATTTTAACTAGCCAAGAACTACATAAAAGAAATGGAGAAACTATTTTGAAAAATGACCTGGTCAATTATTTTTAAAGATGTTGTAAATTTGTGGCTAAATTGTCTCAAACGGCTATTTGAATTTTTAGTGAACTGTAGAAATTCATTGCCACATTATCCACCTCAAGGTATTCAACTTGCAGAGCTAGATCGATATGTGTATTGCCCTTAAATTATGGGAAGGGAGTTGAGGCAAGAGGCGCGCGCCTACCATTTTATAAAGTATCTCTCTTCAAACTTCCAATTCTGCGTATCAGAAAACAGGAGATCTACTTTATACTGCTGACGATTTGGTCAGAATGCCCACTTTCTAATACTATCATAATCATATTCTCTATGATGACTATTATGCTTTAGGGATATTATTTTAATCAATTTTACTTCTAACTCGTTATCTAATAACCTTCACTTTGACAGAACCTAACTATATAAGGCAGTGGTTCTCAAATGTGGTATAATTTTGCCCTCCAGGGGACCACAATGTCTGGAGACTTTTCTGATTGTCACACCAGGGGTAAGGGGGGTGTTGTTACTGGCATCTAGTGGGTAGAGGTCATGGATGCTGCTAGACATTCTACAATGCACAGGACAGACCCCAAAACAAATAATTATCTACTTTTTCAATGTTAATAATGCCAAGGCTGGGAAACTGCTCCAAAGCAAAAAGAAGGTATGGTGCCTATTTTTAAGTAACTTCCGACATTTTCATTGTATTCGAAGATGAAGAATAGCATCTACATTAAATCACATCTTGGAAAATCTAATGCCAATTTAAGTTGTCCCTTCGATTTTAGATCCTGTAACTATCTATGCTCCTGTCAACGTAAATAACAATGAGGTAAATCACAGCAATGTCATGATTGCAGAAATTAGCTCCATACTTTATAACATAGAACATGAAATAAAATGCCATAAAACTAAAACCATAAATATTTTCATTGGAATTTAGTTTTACAATTTAAAAACTGACAGAAAAAAATGGTCTATTAGGTACCGCAATGCCTTAAAGTAAAAAATTCTGGATTTATTTTGACACTAGTTTTAGAATGAGATATTTCCTTTTACTCTCGTTCTTCGTTGTTCTTAGTCATGATCTGGACTACTGTGAACCCTGTCTTGCAGAAATGTTACACCGAATCAAATGCCGGGAATATGGCCTAGGAAATTATTCTAATATTGTGTAAGATAATTTTTAAATGGTTAATATCCATAGTTATTGTTTTAAAAATAATAACGGCAAGTAAGCTTTCTGACCTGGGGTCTGAACACCAATTTTTTCACGTTTGGTATAGTACATATTATAAAGTGACCTATTAATAGTATCAACTCAAAACGTTCTCACTGACTTAAGACTAAAAGCACACATACAAATAAGCAGTATAAATACTGATAGATGTGTTCTTTTGGTTAGCTCTGATTTTTCTGAACAGTCTAGAAAATTAGATCCTAGTACATTATAATGCCTAATTACATACCTAACATGCATTGCAATAGAATTTAACAATACGTATTTAGACTGTGCATTTTGTAAGGCCGGAATCTACTATAATTTACTTCCCTGGACTCCACAGCATGTGCTTCCCGATAATAAGTGACAAAAGGAAAGGAGACCCTGTCCTCTCTTCCCCCCGCACATGTCCCCTGAGCAGCGCCGGCGCGCCCCGCACCGTCCTGGGAGCCAGATCGCGCCCGCAGCGCGCGGAGCCCGCACCCACCGTCACCCCGGCCTCCGGGCCTCCGGGCCGGCGGGACCCCGACCCACCCCATACCCGCCACAGGCAGCCGGGCAGACATTGGTCGCCCCCGCCAGCCCACGGGCCGGCCCTTCCCGGCACTCACCCGTCACGCGAATGGACTCCAGCATCGTCCCGCCGAGGCCGCGGGCAGTGGGCTCCGCGGGCGCGGGGGGCGACAGCCGGGCGGGCCACCTCTAGCCTCCGGCCAGGGCCTCAGAGACGAGATCGCGGAGGAGGTTGCTCCCTGAGACCCGGTGCAGGTTAAGGCGGACAAGGACCGACGGAGACGTACAGACAGAAGGCTGTGCGCAGCGCTCCCTCCAGCCCGCAGGTGTTGGAAGGGACACACGGCGGCCCTACGGTGGACAGCCGTGTTCAGAACCCGCCGCCGTGACGCTGCCGCTCCCCGTTGCTAGGCAACGCGCCTCGCGTCCGCAGGCGCTGCGCTTCACAGGCCCTGTGCCCCGCTTGGGGCGCTCGCTTGTCGCCGGAAAGGAGACGAGGGGGACTACAACTCCCGACGTGCATAGCGCAGGCCCGCGCCTCCAGGGCTCAAGGACCGGGCCCCAGCACAGACTCGGGGCTCTGATTAGTGGGCTCACGCATTTTGGCTGATAATCCGCACAGATGTTTGTGCACTGTACCGGAGAACTTAACTGCAGTAGCTTCACAAGAGAGGGGTGGTGTGACATAAAACAGCCGCAGCTGCGAATTGCAAAACCAGTCTCCTCTGCTGCTTAGTTAATACAAGGTGCGGAAAAGTTAAAACAACTTTAGGTTGAGCTGGTAATAATTAGCACCTTCATTATTTGAGAAAGCCCAAATACATTTACCATTTAAGTGTCACGGCATAATATCCTTAACACTAAAATACAAATTTTAATTTATGATTGTGCAATTGATAGGGCTGAATGTTGTTCTTCACTGTATTCTTCCATGGGAAACGTAAAGACTATAACCTTCGACATTTTTTGGGAGCCTAATGTGTGCAAGACAGGCCTTGCACACAGTTGTAAGACAGGCCTTGAGGACAGAAGGGAAATGAAAGAAGTCTCATGGAGCTTACAGTCTTAAGAGGAGCTCATAAGATAGTGTTGGCACTGTCACTTTCAGAGCCACATTTTCTCTTTACCCTTCTTCAAGATTGAGATAGGATGCAGAAATAGTTGGGATGTGTTTTCAAACTCAGGAACCAAAGAAAGTTGAAATTATGTCAGGAACATCATACTCTGAGAATGACAACGAACATGTGAGAATTTGTATCTTTCCATCAATTAGGAGGGAACAGTGGAAACTGTATCACAAATAGTGGATAACCCCACATCCTATTCTTCAGAATATCCTGGGAATACTGCCACCATTTTTGTTCAACCTACCACCACCTTTTGTTTGGATTATAGCTAAAGCCTCCTAAGTGATCTCAGTATTTTCCACCCTTGCCCTCTTCACTTTATTCTCAAAACCCAGTGGCCAGCATGATACCGTTAAAAGGTCAGATAATACCACTCCTCAGAGAAAGCCCCATCCATAGCTTCCTTTCTTACCTCTGAGGTCCTTTAGGACTCAGCTCCTTGTCTTCTCTTTGATTTCATCTTCCACTACTCTCCCTTCCTTGGTCTCCCCCAGACAGGCTGGTCTCCCTCGATACTCCTCAGCTATGCCAAGCGCTATTTCATCTCACTTTGCAAGCTGGGATTGCCCTGCCTTTTGGAACGTTCTTCCCCAGATGCCCACGGCATTAACTCCATCACCTCTCTCAAGACTTACTCCAAATGACACTTCTCAGTGAGACCTTCCCTGGCCACTTGGTTTAAAATTCCACTCCTTCCTCAAATTTACTACCTCCTCTTTCTCTGCTTTATTTTTCCCCCTTAACCCTTAACATTATCTAATTTATTATATATTTTACTGATTTGTCTTATTGTCTGTCTACCTCCCTAAAATAAAATTTCCATAAGTGCAGTGATTTTTGTTTGTGCACTACTATATTCCCAGCATCTAGAATAGTATCTGGTACATAGTGGGTACTCAATAAATTATAAGTTAATGAATATGTAGGCAACAGAAAGTATACATTTTCAATGACAACTCAGAGAAAATAGAATGATATAAAATGGGCATGTAGATAAAGAAAAAGTCCTCAGGTTAAGGCACTTGATATAGTAATGGAAATGAATCCTTTGCATTCATAAGAGCAGTTCTTGCAACATATATTCTAAGAAAAAAGGCTGTAAATGAACCTTACATAACTAGCTTCCTTATGTACCTAAAACTCTGAAACCCACTTTCCAGGTTTGCAATAAATACATCTATTACGCCTGCAAATTTTTAGTTTTTAAAGTTTAGTTTTCAAAAAAATAAAAAAGCGTCCTAAAAGATTTCCCAAATCATATGTCAGCATCTATGTAAACAATTTACTCTGAATGCTTGTACTAAAGCGCGCTTAATCAGATTGTCCATTTTCATTATATTCTGAAGATAACAAGATGCATTATTTTATTCTTTCCGCAGGCATTTTATTCATATACAAGGCACTGGGCTTAATACTTTTAGAGTACATGAAAGACATCATACTTATCCTCAGGAAACGTATTGACTAGCAGGCAAAGTTTTATACACACACATTAGAAAATAATGTATAAAAAAGGTATATCTCCCCCCGCAACATTTCATTAAACTTAAGAATTCCAAAAATGAACAGTCTAATGCCCCTGTAGTCAGCCCACCTAGAATATTACTTTATTCTTTACTTTCAAAATTATTTTTATGTTCTCCCTACCAGTATTTTCCAAAGTGGATCACTTTGATTTCTAAATATCTTTACTGATAATCATTATAGAGTTGCATATCAATTTAACCAAAGCATTTTTAAAAGACATTCTTCGAGTACTATTAGGCATTGAAGTACTCTTGCTAACAAATTCATTAATACAAAGAGTTTATCTAATTTCTTACAAAACTGGTACTGTTACCAGCTCCTTTTACCATCCCGCCTATGCAATTATTCATGCTCATCAAGCTTCGTGCATCTGCTTTGTTAATTATTGATTTGTGCTCTGCCTGCTTAGTATTTCCACTGGGTACAGCATCTGCAGCTGTCCATTTGGCTGCTTTTAAGTCAGCATTGTTTCCACATATCCGCCAGAACAATGAACAATTCCATCTTTCTGAGAAACTTTTCCTTATACGGTACCTGTTTCTACATAAACCATTACTACCGAGACAAAAGAATTGATGTGATCATCAGTTACTACTCCATTTTCAAAGTATTGATTGTAAAATAAAGTTTAAAATTTAGTAAAACTAACTTTAATAATTTGTTTATCTATAAGGATTCATCTTCTCTGCTTTTTAAAGTTTTACTAAACTTAAGTTTTCTAAAAATAGCCAAGAGTGCCACTGTAGTTATCTTAGTGCAACATTATACTTTACTTTCATGTAAAGTATCAAATCACTTCACTTTTATGGCCATTTTTATGTGCATGACCGACATGACATTGTGAATCATTTTGATTTCTGAGTATCTTTAATGATTCCATTCAGTTTTTAGATTCAAAAGTGATAGGAAAATAGGAATTTTAATAGAAATATTATTCTTGTACGTGTGGTGAGATTTTTATGTTATGAATAAAGAACTTACATTTTTCTTATTTTATCAGTAACTTTCGTTTAGTTAACTCATGTTAATCTGAACATTTCATGTACATGACATGTGGCCAAGTATTTATAGTCAATTGAGTAATAAATAGAGTATCAGGATAAAAAAGTCAGTCCAAACATCTCTGTAATAAAAGGATTTTTTTTTTTTTTTAGTAAAAAGATCAACATCCTACATTTTAAGGACTTAGAACACTTGGATCGTTTACCTTCAACAGGGGAGTTGGGTAGTAAAGACCAAGAAAGAGAAAGAGAGAGATGGCAAAGCCTGGAGAAGGCGGCTGGTAAGTATCACTACCGCTAGTGGAGAGACAAACAACTATAGCATTTCACTTTCTACACAAAAACTCATTTTGCTGAGAATAGATCAAGCATATCTTATGCTTGAAGCTAAGAAAAAGTTAAATTTCTTATGGAGAAATTATCTTAGTAACTAAAAAGAATTAGAACATTAAAATAATATTTATTCACTTCTAAATTTCAGATGAGAGTTTAAAAGAATGAGGGGAGGAAAAGCTTCGAGGAAATACTTTTGACTTTCCTCATTGTGCTGTTAGAAGCAATTTATAACATTCTATGTTATTGGAAAATATCAGTTAAAGAACGTTAATGTAGTCTGTTGTTATAGAAGAACAGGACAACTGTAGTTGCAAGACCTCAGATTCTAACAAGCGTTAATAGTGGCCTCAGGGCAGGCTGAAAACAGTGTTCCTTGACTTATAAAAGAAACAAAGATCTGGGGGGAATAGCTGTTTTCGTAGCTTAAAAAAAAATTCAGTGAAGTTTGAGAGCTTTCAGAATGTTTGTACTGAGCGAATGGAATGTTTTCAGTATGTCTTTTTCAGGGGAATGGAAAGCATTAAGTGGAAGCCCAATAAAAGAATGCTTTATGAAACTGCCTCCATCTTTTCACTTCAATGAAAATGGCCAGAACAGCTCAAAAGTCCTGGGAAACACTGATTTTTTTTTTTTACAGGATGTTTTATTGAAAATGAAAGGGGGGACATATTTTTTTCATCAGACAAAAAAATTACTCCTGTTAATTATATTTTGAAGAAAACAAGATATGCATTAATGACTCAGATATTGATTAAGTGCCTACTATTACAAGGCAAAAAGATGATGAAAAACACCATGATTTACCCTCAGACAACTTACTGGTGGTGCATACATACATTATGTAAACATGATGTACATACACCGATCAGTCCTTGAGTACATACATCAATGACACTGCTGAGTAAATCAAGTAGGGTCCCAGTTCTCTTTGGAGCTTCTGTTACAGTGGAAGACACAAACAACAATCAATTTCGATGGCAGAATTTCAGATGCAGATAGGTGCTACGAAGCATGGCAGTTCAGGGGAGCATGCTAGATGGTGACTTGGAGTAAGGCAGGCGGGTCAGGAAAGTCCTCTTAGAAGAAGTAAATTTTGAGCTGAGATTTGAAGGATGAGAAAGAGTCAGCCATTGGAAATTTGGAGGATCAAGTGCTCTAGGTAGAGAGAATTGCGAAGGCAAAAGCCCTGAGATGGGGATGATCTTGACGTGATCCTGGGGCTGCCTGAAGGTCAGCATGGCTGGAGTCTGGTGAGCTGGGGACAAGTGGTAGGAGAAAAGGTTTCAGAGGTAGGCAGGGGCCAAGGAAAGGAGTTTGGATTTCATTCTAAGTGCAACCAGGAGCCACTGTTGGATTCTAAAGAGGGCAGTAAGATAATATGGCTAATTTTTTTCTTTTCA